TACGTTTTCTAGTTGACTGATCTACTTAATTGCGCCGCTGAAGCTTATAGAAATCAAAGGCAACCGAGAAAAAGCCCCATGCGAGAAAGCGGCGAAACATGAGCTTCAAAATGCGCAAAACAGAAATTTCACAGCTTTCATAAAATGAACAAAACGTAACAAGCTATACAAGTAAAAAATGAAAAATATAATGCCAAATAAGGTATAAATTAACACATTAAAAAAATTTCATTTTAAATTTTTGTTTCTAAAAAACAATTGGGATCTACTTAACAAACCCCCCTTTCAAGAAAAGGGGGGGGGGAGATTGTCTAGTAGATACAATGGGGGGGGGGAGAGATTGTTTAGTAGATCCAACAATTGTTTGCGAATGCAAACCCTGTTCCCATCGGAAAGCGATTGCTAATCGCAAGCGTAATTAGCGGAAAAACACTTGACCGTCTGATAAGTCACTGATATCGGGATATGTTGTCGAAGAGACGAAATAAAAAAGACGCTTAACTTCGCCATGACGATAATTCCAAAAAGCTAAAACTCATAACATTTTTATTGTCGAACCCGATCGTGGGTAAACCAAGAGTTATTCACTGGAAATAATTTCAGGCACATGTATCCAAAAAAATATGAAGTGGAATCATAGCCAACATGCATTTAGACAAGGACTAAGGACATTAAAAACCAAATTGTAATTTATTCAACTAAATTACATCCCATTAAAACTCGAGAAGCATCGACAAATAGGTCTATTTTTCTTCCACTGGGAATTCTTAAGACGAACTCCTTCTGAGATTAAAAGTAGAACTCGTATTTTTGTGCTATTTTAGAGCGTGATTAGAGAGCGTAATTTATCTTCCATTTAGTATGCATTAATATGAACTCACATCCGTAGTGATTGGAGGATTAGGACTTTATCCTTTAAAAGAATCAGCAACACTACATAACAGTATCCACTACGTGCATTACTTTTAACGAGTCAAACCTCGATAAATCAAATACCTCGAAAAATCAAATACGGAAAATCAAAACTTAAGAACAAAAAAATATATCAGAAAACAGCTTCTAATTTCAAGAATCTTTTATGACTAAGATTTTTGATAAAACTATCACAGCCTAACAAAAACTGGAATAAAAACTAACCCAACTAAAAGTGAATTTAAAGATATTTTTTTAATTGGCTGGAAGAAAATCCCAAATTAGAAATATTTTTGAAACTAGGAAAGATTCAGGTCTTTTTCTCACTGTTGGCAGTTTCGTAATAAGAGCAGAATTTTCCTTCCTTTCAGCTAATGAATTAGAATTGAATTTCAAACACAGAGGCAAAGCAGTAAAATCCAAATACCTAGCAAGCAAAAACGAGACGAAAGCAGAACCATTAAACAAGTTCAACCAAAATTTTACAAGGAAGCGAAGCTTCGCTTCGCAAACACTAGCCAGAACACTTGAAAAAACAGTTCTTAAAGTGCACTAAGAAAAAGTAGAAATAAGCCTCGATTGAGTAAAAAATACGTCTAGGTCTCGGATTCCATCTGCGACCTTGAGATAAGGAGTCTCCTGCAATAACCACTTACGCTTATTACATCACGATACTAGCCACAAATAAAGCAAAGAAATTGCAATGCTAGATTATGATTACAGCGAAAGTGCCGTCAAATAAGTGAACAGTTTCCACATTCAATGAACACTTATTTGCGAGCTAGGCTAGAAAAAAAATAAGGATCGTACTAATAGTAATACCCTACGCTTCTGGCTAGTGTAAGCTTCGTTGTCTTGAATAAACTTCCTTATTAAGACATTCCAAGTAAAACAATTGAATATTACATTAGCATCGAAACAAATTTTACGAAGCGGTAAGAAAGCCGACAAAACTCGAGAGACCAATTCAATAAAAAAAAATTGTGACGACCAAATCAAGTGTCTTCACTTTGTTCATTGAGACCAGATGCAGGATTCGAAACAGATTTCCACAAATTGGTCTAATGTCTTTAGCTATAGCTCCTTTCTGATTTCCATGGGATTAAGATCCTAGTGCCGACACGCTAGTGCTGTGATGGTACCATTTTTTTTTTAGCTGTGCTAATAATTTGATCCTCACTTATTTATGCGAATCACATTACGTATTCACTTTTTTCCAAACTCAGCATTTTGTGGTGAAAACAACTGTGCAACGTAGGCTTCATTTTGTAGAAAAAAAAACGAAGAGCGTTGAAAGGACTTGTCTTGCTCTTTTACTTAGTTGACACGGCTCTTTTCCTTTTTTACCTCCGCTTTTCAATTTAAGTTTTTGAAAACTACTTCAACGCTGTAATTATTTCAGAAAATTGCCATGATGAACAAACTAAAAATCGTGAGTGGATTCGTTCTTCATACCTTGCTTCGTAAAATTACGCTTTCGTCCATAATAACACGTGAAATAACTATGAAAGGTGAGGTAGTGGAGAAGAGCACCTAACAAATCTAATAGCAAACAACAGGTAGCAAAAAAAATACCAAAGCAGATTGAACTAACAGACTTGTAAGCACAGATACACTAAATTTGAAAATAACTTGAATTCAAAAACGCGTGGGGAAAAAGTTAACTCGAAATATAACAAGACTGCTCGTATCAGGGGGAAGCCCTGAATGTTCCGACTGCCTTTTAATGTTAAATAAAATGTAATAAAATGAAAAAAAATTTTTCTAAAATTTGAAATTTTTACTGAAAATCATCCCCCCACGCGCCACATTAAGTACAAAAGGATAGATTTCGCTCCTTGTAACAAATCAATTATGGCAAATAAGCTTCTTCCAACTAATTTGGAACGATTTCTAAGACGGATTAAATCTCCGCTTACGCGTTAATAGCGCGAATTATATCGCGCGTTAATTATCCCAAATTGGTCAAAATGGCAATCTTTAAACCCTCATAACTTCACGAAAAAAGATCACAGGTGAAATATCTTTTCAAATATAAGCTCAGGACAACAATAGCTTTCTAATGATAAAAAAAAATTCCGTCAAAAATGGCTAGTTAAAAAGTCGAAATTTATCTGAAGAAAAAAAAACCCACCCCGAGCACAAATATTCCGTTACTTTCGTATCGAAAGTCGGAACAACAAGTGAGGAAAAAGATGCAGAACAAGTTTCAACAGTTTTCATAGCCGCAATTTTAACAGATTTTAAAAGGGAAGAAAAATAGCCTGTAATTGAAAAGGGGTTGTTAAACTCAAAACATAGCCAACTATCAGTTCGAAAAGAGTAATGAACGCAAGAAAACAGAAAAACGGACAAATGCCTGAATTTGGCTCTTTTCCAGTCCCCCCTTTCAAATTCAATTTTGAAAAGTCTATTTAACGTTGTCACAATGCAATGCAATTTGGCGTGGTGAACAAATCGACAATTCTGAACAGATTTGTTCTTCATACTTTACAGCGTAAAATCACGCATTTAGCCGTAATAACACGTAAGACAAACATAAAGCTCGGTATTTTGAAAGGGTGGGAACTGGAAAAGAGCCCTGATTTTTTTAAAAATAAATTTTATGGCCTTAACCCTCTTCAAATAGACTCAATTTTATCAAGTAATAATTTGGATTATAACAAACTGAAGGCATCCACATTACTTTTGCATGTAACAAATTGCAAAGCATAAAGCCACATTGTATAAATTAGAGATATATTGACTTAGAAAATGTCCGAAATCGAGTTTTCGTTATTTTTATGCAGTGATTTGCTTCAATCAACATAATGAAAACTCGATTTCACTTCATTTGATGAATTCAAAATGCATCAACTGTGTTAACTTATAACTATTCGAATGTCAAAGCACATGCTATGAAAAAGCTGTCCCAAAAGTGGCAAAAACATTTGCGACTTAGGTTGGAAAAAAGAAGGTTCGTACTAATACACTCACTTCGCAAGTGGTGTAAATAGATTTATTCTTCTTACTCATAACATCACGTATTCAGCTGAAATAACACGTAAAGCAACTAAAAAGTAAAATTTGGAATGTGGCGGGAGAAGTAGTGGAAAAGAGCCAGTAGTTATTAGAGCATTAGACTTTCTTGAAAAAATGACCAAGAGTTGATCGAGGCGCTCGGGAAGTGATGGTGCCCAGCAATCATGTGATTGCTGGTTCAAATCGCACGTGCATCGCAATTTTGAAGGTGATCTCTTGCTAGTAAGTCATAGCTTTATGGCAATTAACCTCCGGGTTAGGCCTCCTGGCTGGTTGACTTAAAAAAGACCTATATTAGAGTCTTCGGCTCTTTTCCAGTCCCCCTGTGATTTTTCTAAAATAGATATGAAAGTCTAATTAAAACTACTTTTCTTGTTATAAACTGCATCAAAACGTGTCTGCGTGAACAGGTGAACAAATTTTCAGAACATTTCTTACATGCAAAAAAACCGTGTGAACAATTTTTGAACAGCCTAATTTTGCAATTTTACGAGGGGGATGGGAAACTGGAAACAATTTAAGTAACGAGAACTTAATATTTAAAAAGATGTCATTTAAACTTAATTTGGGCAGCCACCGGGCCAGTTGTTTTCAATGACGTGTCACATTTGCAACTTAAGTAATACGAATAATCGAAGAATTGAGCCGATTCAAGAATTTTGAAATGCAAGTAACTGTGATAAGTAACAGAAGATTGAGTGAATGGAATGTGATGTGTGCTCTCATAGCAAATGTTGCCTCAGCAGTTCGTCACTGTTTGCCACATGTAAGACTCCGAAACATGTTCAAACAAATGGTTCTTTTCACAATATAGTCTATATCTCTATTGATAAAACTTAATGGAAGCGCATCGGCTGGCTTTCCATCCCATTGCGTTAAACGAAACGAGTAACTTGCACGGAACTTTCACAACTCTCTCAGATTTGAGATTGTACCAAACGCGTCGGCATGAATCACTTAGCATGAAAAATAAATCTCACCATAGTTTCAATAACTGCGCTATTAAACTTAACATTTCATTAAATTAACTTATATTTTGCAATTTTAGCCGGTGATAGAGCACTGACCTTGCGCAATTGGATCGATCTCCATGGCTTTTCCATAGAACGTCTTTTGGTCCTTTTCTTTCACAATTCGCTTGCACTCATCGGCACTAAAGCGAAAAGTTTTTCTCTAGAGCCAAACAATTCCTTATCTCATAAACTTTGCATTCAAAGCATTATTTCATTAGCATAAGACGCAAGTCCACTCACGTTCTGAAATAGCAGAAGGCAATTCTCTGCTTGCCAGAGCCCTCCAGTTTTATGCAAACGGCCTTGCCTATCTTCTTAAACTCGAAAAACAATCCTTCTTTAATAGTTTGATCTGAAACATACCATAGGAAATTAATTCTAGTTTCATCTCTGCAAGAGTCTCCTCTTAATAATATTGAATTTCTTCAGTGCATAAACGTACACATATGCAGTTTTCGCACCAAAGAGGATAACCGACAGGCAAAGTATAACTTTCTTTGGTTACCCTTTCATCTCTTGCATCAATTATCAGCTATTCATATATACCTACACTTACGTATAATCTAATCTAAATGAACCTAGACTTAGCAGAACGACCCATAAACGTCACCGTATTATCCATTAAACAATCACCAGTCAGGTCATAGCACTGATTTTCACATAAGTGCCTATAATGTTCAAATACTAACTTCAGTCGTAATGCCTCGGAACATGACGTACCTTTATGTCTTTTGGGGAGGTTGCGAACAACCACCGCATGGTATCCACGCAGTTTCTCAGAAGAGATGGACTCGTCTGAGTCCAGTCGAGCGTCAGAACTGTCTCCTCCTTCGTCACTGAAACAACCAACCCAACCTCACAATACCAGTTTCCTCTTTTGTCTGTCTTTTTCCTTCCAAAACAATCTCTCCTGGTCGCTACAGTCTCGCACAAACATCCGATTTTGAAATGGCCTAAGTTCGATCTGAATGGTTATGTTAAAATTGCGGCACGTCAATATTTGTGAAATCATTTCTTGACACCAAAAATCAAACAAATAAAAAAGCACGCAGAAATCAAAAGTGCGTGACTCATGGCGGTATTTTCATCGTAGGCATTTTTTATATTGGAGCATGGTTAAGAAACTATTGAGAATACCGAGGTTTTCAATTTAGATAACAATTACAGTATTAAACGGACAATGTTTGAAGTTATAACCACACACGTAGAAACCTTTGGAATCTTATCGAATAATCTAGTTGGCCTAGCAAGCTTTTTTGAAATTTATTCATGCAAATCTTCGAGAACGCAAGTCCAACAAAATTGCTTCATGATTTTATCTCTAATTTTGACCGTGAAATTTTCTCTTTTTAAATCAAGGATATAGAGATAGGCAGATGGGTAAGTCAGATATGTAACCTGATATAAATCCAGTGTCCGTCGTTTCTAATACAAAACAAATGCCGAATTGAGTCTCCGTTACACTCGTTTTAGCCGTATTTCGGCAACTGAAACTTGACGCTTTTTGCTTTGTTGTCAACACCTTTAGAGTTTCAATATAATAACACAATCGAGCTACAAGCGTAGAGTTATATAAAGCGACCACGGCGCAGCTCTGCGTGATGTTACGCTGTAAAGTATGAAGAACAAATCTGTTCAGAATTGTCGATTTGTTCATCACGCCATAATTCATAGCATTATGACAACGTTACATAGACTTTTCAAAATTGAATTTGAAAGGGGGAAACTGAAAAAGAGCCCATGTTTTTATAGCTGTGTTATTACGGCTGAATGCGTGATGTTACGATGTAAAGTATGAAGAACAAATCTATATTTATTATTATTAGCCCCCAGCCCAGCTCCCACCATTCAACCGTGGGCCTTTTTCCAAGGGCGAGAGCGATATCCATTTAGCCACAGCCGCGCCCACCTTGAGGCGGATGACACAGACCTCATCAACCGTGACAGAAGCGGGATTCGAACCCACGACCTATTGTTAAGGGCCGCGATTCGAACCCACTCAGCCAGTGCCGCAATTCGAACCCACCATTCCAAAGATCCTTTTAAAAAGTTAAAATTGAAAGAGGTAGGGGGAAAATTGAAAAGAGACCACTTCTGTGCAATCAATTGCATGTTGAACAAAACTACACTTTTTTAAAACCTTTTCAGAGCTACTTTTTCCCGATTTCTAGATTGTTTGAGATTTGCAGCTTCGCAAGACAATTAATGGCATAATGAACACAACAACTTTCTTTATATTTTAAATCAGTTTTTCTCATTCAAACGAAACATTAGGCAGAATTAACGAGAAAAAAGAAAATACGAAAACAGGGGAAAAGTGAAAAAAAATCAACGCATTTGAAAATTAATGTTGTTTTGCAAACTTTTTACACAGAGGCGAAGCTGCGCTTCGCAACGCTTGCGAGAACACGACCAAAAAGCAGCTCGATCAAGTTAAAGAAAAAGTAGAAATAAGCCTCGAATTAGCAAAAACTCGGCTACGTGTAGGATTCGAATCTACGACCTACTGCAATCAAGAGATTGTGAGTCTCACGCACTATCCCCTCAGCCACTCAAGCTTAACAACCGACAAACTCTAGTCACGAATAAAGAAGCTACATATGCAAACAAATTGCCAATGCGATTCAGCACCAAATACAAATAGACTCAGTTTTGCAATATAACACACTGAAGGCATCTACACTAACTTTTCATGTAACAAATTGCAAAGCATGAAACCAGATTACAAATAAATTATGCATTTCGAAAAAATGCGAGATATATTGAATAAAAAAATTTATTGTGATGTTGTTTGAAACAAATAGCTTTGTTTTCGGCTCATTTAATGAACTAAAAATGCATCAACTATGTTAATTTATTACTATTCGAATGTCAAAGCACATGCTATCAAACAGCTGTAAAGGTGCCCCACCATTAGTGGTGTTCCGCACCATAAAAATGCCGCACCAATATTTGCGACTTAGGTTGGAAAAAAAGGTTCGTACTTTTACAATAGCTTCGCAAGTGTAAATAGAAGGTGACCAAAAAAATTGTTCCTTCTTTCCGCGCAGATCTCATCAACTTTATCCCAATATTTTAATTTAGATTTTGACACAGGTGAAACTGCACTTCGCAAACAAAAGCTGTAAAAAAGGCAAAAATGAGCTTTGAAAAATAAAACTTGTGGCGCAATCAAATTTCAACTAGGAGATAACGATTGACACGACCTCGCATCTGAACCATTGTCTCTTCACACTAGCCACCAAAAAAGCAGACAGAACAGATGCTATTAAATTGCCAAAGCTATGAAGTAAACTTGCCACCTAATGATTTGCATAGGAAACGAACGATTTCGTAATTCAATTAAAACTACGCTGGCTAGCTCAATTGTGTAAAAATCCCGCATTTAGCAATTCTAACATTTGAAACGAATAAGAAATTTTGAACTGTAGGCGGCAGTGAAGAAGAACCTTCGACGCTTGCCCTCATTCAAAATTATTGTGATGACCACTCTCGTATGACCGGAAGCAAGTATAGCGTATATTGGTTAATTTTTTCGTCAAGCTCATTGAAATCTCGTTAAAAGTAAGCAAGGTATTATGCTTAAGCCCTTTCAGGCATTATTCAAATTCCCATTTTTTTCCAAAAATAGATTTTTCCCGTTCAGACTAAATGTCGAGAAATTTGTTGATGGAACCCTACTTAATTCATATTTGCCTCAAATTTTACTCTACCGCAATTTAATTGAACTCAATTTAATTATATACATCATTTTTGCAGTTTGAAAAATTCTATCGCCCCTTTTTCTAAAAAACAACTTAAAAATCGTAATTTTGGATATTTACTTAAATCATTGCGAGTGGAACAATTATGTGCAATTTGCACAGCAACTGGCTATCCTTGTCTCGTTGGGTCTCTTTTGGAATAGTTGGAAAAGTAATACGAAATGCCGACCCCTTGAACAAAAACCAAAACTAGAATTGATACACTAATGCTAACGAAGAAACATTTTTTCAAAAGTTAGTGAACAAAGTAGTTGAAGATTTCGACTCACCTGGATGCCCCAGGTTCTGACTCTGAAACTACTCCTGCCTCTGAGCTGCTTGATGATGGCGGTCTGTGCTTGGATTTTTTCTTAGGCTTCACGTAAACTCCAGTTGTGGGGGAGATATGGGTCCCTGGCCCGTGTTTGGACGAAGAAGATACCACCTTCATGCCATGGCGATGCTTCGACGAAGAGGATGAAGACGCAACCATATGGTCGTATAACTTGGCCTTCTTTTCCTTCTAAAAGCCAAGCACCCTAATCTCACCATGCCCAAACAAACAGCAGTAACAAATACTTGCGTCACAGCGTAAACTAAAATTTATTAAAGCAGCCATAATGTAGAGATAAATTTTGATGGTTTGGGTAACCCCCGAAGGGATTTGAGATAATTTAATGTTAAATGATTTACGTAGAAAGCAAGTAAAACCTCAGAAATAAACTCAACAAAATACAGGTCTATTCGGCTCAGCTACCATTGCCAATGAATAAGAACACAGTTTATAGTAGTCTAAACATGTTGTAACTAAAGCTGGCAAGAATCAGGTTCAAATCATTAGGTCAAATAAAGTAGATCAGTAAACTCAAAGTCCAATTCTTACTCGCTATCTCGTACGTAGATCTAATCCGAATGTACCTTTGCTCGTCATAGGTAAGCATGAAGAAAAGTTGAAATAATTCATTACCTTTTTCCAAGACATACCGGCGAATTACAGTTAATCTTTCATACAGCCTATGCCATTGATCATCTTAGTAGAGAGTAACTCATATTGACTACTACTTCCCAACTATTTAAAAGATTTGCAGTAGAAAAGATTTGCAGTAGAAAAAATGAAGTAAAAAATTTCGGTTCCGAAAAATCAAGCTGGATATTTCAATTTTGGTTGAATTAATTCCAAGGGTGTTTACTAACTAACATTTCGCTATTGTAAAATCCAGCATACATTTTTCGCAGATATAAAGGTAAAGGAAAAAACGTGCTACAGTACTAAATTTAAACCAGGTACCAACGTCGTAAAAACGCTGATAGAGGAGTAAAACTGCGCTCGATGGAAGCGCACAAAAAAGGTAAACGGAAAATAAAAATAGATTCAATGCATTCTTAGTGCTACAAAATAATAAAAACAGAACGTGCTTCTCAGAAGGGAAACGGTGTTCTTTTTAAAGCTGGTATGTTGTCAGGCAAAAGCCATTTCACATTACACGCGTAGAAGCAAAGCAACTAAAGAAACTCCATCTATTTCTACAGGACATGTAATCACACCAAATGTGTTGTCGTAACTACAGCGTCAACAGGCGGAGATATGAGGCTGTATGTCAAGACCACGTTGAAAATAGAAAATGCGCAAAATCGAGAATGCTACATACAACTTCCATAGAATTGCGTGTGTTAATTCCATTTGCTTCCCAGGCATGTTCAATACTCGTGCTATTAAGAAGAAACATGGCCACAAAGAATTAGACATAAACTCATTGTAATGTAGTGTTCGCTTTGCATTGAGCTTCGTGTTATGCAATGGAAATACTCAAGTAATATCTACCACTTGCATGAGTGCGTTGCTGTAAATTAGCTGGAATATATATTCTCAGTCTCTTTCTTTTGTTCTGCCTGGGAATCAAAATACGTGGGGCATGCAAAATGTGAATGAATATTTTGTTCGTTTGGTTCGATTTAATTCAGCATTGACAACAATGGAGGCGGAGCAACAAGCAGAATGGTCCAAGTGCAGAATGGGTCCAAGAGCAGAAAAACAGAAAAATATTGACTTATATTGGTTTATACGGGCTAATTGATAACACAATTATTAGAATCGTCAAAAACTACCAAGAAAACGAATAAATTATGCATGAATTCACTTATTTCATTAAGTTTTTTATTACAGTTTTTTAAAGTTCTTGATTAAATTATTCAAATTATGCATAAAATGTTCATTGCTTTGGTATTATTGACATTTCTGATAATTTGTTTACAGATTAGGGGGCAGTACAACAGTGCCGAAGTACATTAGTGCCGAAAATGAAAACTTTGTTCAACAGTGCCGAAAATGAAAACTTTGTTCAACAGTGCCGAAAATATGAACAAATTTCCGCATATTAAGTGCGACAATCAAAAATTAAACGGCGAACGTTTACAATCTCAATTTGGCTTTAATTGTATATCTTATATCTTTACTTCAGGTTGGAAGTAAAATAAATGCTAGGGATTTTAGCAGACCGGTTTTTTAGCAGACTCCGAACAATTATAAATTATGATAGCTAACTTGAAACGCGGCTTTTGCGATTAGCGAATGCTTGCTCCGCTGCGCTTCAATTCCACACGAGTCTTCTTCTGCGCGTAAATCTTTGTTTTGCCGCTAATTTAGACTTGTGTTTCTGAAGTTGATAGTTTTGTTGACAAATTATGAGATAATTGTCTTAATTGGGGAAGCTTGGCCCCAGACTGAGCGTCTTTTTGAGCCTGTCAATCAATCATCCATCATTTTATTACGTTGGCCTGCTAAAAGCCTCATTTTTCACTTTTTATGCTAAAAGATTGGTCTGCTAAACGATCGGTCCCCACATTTAAGGAAATGTTCACATTTTTCAGTCCAATCCAGGAGCATGGAAATAGGAAAAAGACTTGCGACATAACCAGCTAAGGGCCAGGAAAGAAAATTGTTGCAACTTTTATGAAGCGCAGCACTTGTCAGAATGCTCCTCAAGCAGAATTTGTCCAACGGCAGAGATACTCCCTTGAGCGCAAATCTATCACACAGGTGAAGTAAAGAACAAACAGAGCCAATCGAAGATTGGAAAAAGAGTAATGAACGCAAGTAAACATGCAAGATATCTACTTTACAATCTCCCTCCCTTTTCAGAAGGGTGGGGGGAGGGGGTGGGGCGAGACTAATACGTAGATTAAATAATCGAATTTTCGCCCCTCCTTAATCCAACTCTGCCTAGAAGCATTCATAAATGCATTAATGTATATGAAATATTACAGCATTTTAAGACTTTCCTGAAAAAAAAGTCAAAAAACCATCATCACCTATAAAAGAGTGACCTATGTTCATCGACTCTTAAAAGCAATTTTTGTTTATCTCGATTCCACCCTTCTTCCAACCAAATAATAGAAAACTGGGTCTTATTCCGCCAGGAAATCTGAAACATGAAGTCTGAATTTGAGAAAAAAATAAGTGAACCACTTTATTCGCGTCATGAAGTCAGTCACTTTTTAATGTCAACTGGACACAAAAAGAACACCCCCCCCCCCCCCCCCCCGCGAAAAATCAAATGTTAGAAAAACTTTGAAAACAGAAGACTTAAATAATTGACAAATTACTTTGACAAAGTAGCACAGAGGGTTCCGATCAATGATACTTTTTTGCGGCTATGGAGCAAAGGATTACAAGACACTTGAGAACGAACGAACAAGGACATTGAACAAAACATACATGAGATAAACTAAGAAATTTTGAAAAATTCCAAACCAAAACACCGATTATAACACAAACAGTTAAAATCCTAAAAAGGCACCAAATTTATGCCGTTTATCGTTTTTAGCAGCCACAAGAAATTAAAAAAACTGCAAGATAATTAAAACACATCCAACATAGTTGGAAAAGAGTCAATGCTCACAAGGATAGAAAAATACGGACTTATAATCGAAAAGTTAGCCAACTGACAGTAAGAAAAGAGAAATAAACGCGAGAAAACAGAAAACATAGCCAACTGACAGTTGGAAAAGAGTATTGAACGCACGGAAACTGAAACAAAAACTGACTTGTTTTTTCAAGTCTTCAATTTTTGAATTTCGAAGAAAAAAACAGATGGCCTTAAAGCTCTTTGAATTTGTAGAAAAATGTATGATGGACACTTTTTGTTAAAATTAACCCATATCTGAGAAAACTGGATTAATTGGTAAATTTTTTTTTCACTGGGAAATCTGATAGTTCATTTCCATTTTCGAAATTATCAGTCGATCACTTTTTTTATAACTTAACATTTTTGCTCTTCGATAGTGGAGTTTGCCTTAATTTAACATGGAAATGTACTGAATTTGAAAAGAAATCACAAGTCAAACCGCGAAAAATCAAAATTGAGCTGAGCGTGAACGAACTGAAAGACTTTCATAAAAAAATCAAAAAAAAAAATCAGCAAGACCTATATAAGAGTACTAACTACGTTCATTACTCTTAAAAACTGATTTGGTTTTTGAAAAAAAATTCAAGTTTCGAATTTTAAAGAAAACAATGTGTGGCCTTAAAGCCCTTTGAAGTTCAAGAACAATTTTTGATTAGTGGTTTTTTGAAAAAAGTAACCCAATTTTGAATAAGGCTTTTTTCGATAAAATCAAGCAAATTTCTCTTCAACAATTCAGTTGGCGTTTTCGTTCTATTATTTTACACGCGTTCCTTGTGCATATTCTGATTTTGTTAGCCAGATAAATCCAAAATAGCAGAACTTGCTTTCAGAGAGAAATGGGTCGCCAGGAGATTTCTTGCCGGAAAACTTCTAGGGTGGGTACAAACTACGTACCTCTAATGTGTTCCTGCTTTCATCAATTTCATTGGTAGCTAAAAAGAAAAAATTCAGAACGATTTCCAAAAAATTGGAAACTACTGACTTGACAACTTTAACCGGGCGCAAGTTTTAGACTGATATTTTTCTAACGAATTGCTGGATCTGGCGCTGACACTTAGTCCTTATCAACAGCTCAGGTCTGGAACGTGCTTTTAAGCTCATGAAATTCATCCACGCAGACTTGAGAAACGCTTGAAAAAAAACATCCGATGTTAAAGAAAATACATGCCATTCAAACCCTTTGAATTTGCAGACCAATTTATGAGCGGTGTTTTTGTGATAAAGTTAACTCAATTTGAGAAAACTGGATCAATAGGTGGATTTCATATTTCGCTGCGATATCTGAACATTAAAATCCAATTTCAAACCTAGAAGTCGGTCACTTTTTTCCTGTGACCTTTACACTTTTGCTGTTCGATAGTCGAGTTTGCCTTCCTTTTAACAAAGGAAATGAACTGACCGAACTTCAAAATTGAAAGTCAAAGAGTTCAAAAGTCAAACCGCGGAAAAAAAACTTTAAGACTTTTCCTTAAAAAAATCACCTTTAAAAGAGTTTTAACTACGTTCAAACGTTCAATTTAAAAAAAAAATCCCCTTTCCCTCAAACACGCCCATCAAACATTTCGCATCAAACGACCCAATGAGAGGCTACTACGCCAATATAAAATATCCAAAAAAAAAATTTAACAGCGAATTTTCGAAGCTGCGCTCGGCTAACGCTAACTAGAACACAAACAGGCTGTTTTATAAAGTGAAACTAGCGTGTCACGCACCTCCGTTGCTTCGAATTTTTGACAAATCATACAAACGGCATATCTCGGAAACTGAGATGATTTGAGCAGTCAAAATTGGAGGAAAGAATTGCAACCTCTGAGAAAACCTGAGATTACGCCATTTTAGGGCTGCGAAATATTTTTTTCATTAATTCGAGTTTTTCAGAAAAACATTGAAAATTGGAAAAACGTCATGTCTCGTAAACCAAAAGCACTTGTGCCGGCACCATTGGAGGCAAAATTTGCAATCCATGAGAGTACCTCGACGAATCCTGACTACAGGTTTGGGAATTACAAGTTTTGTGAAATTATTCAAATCTTATTTTAAAAAATTATGAAAAAAATAGTCATATCTCTGAAACTAACAGATTTCATCAGTCAGTTTTGGAGGCAAGATTTGCAACGAAAGAGTACCCTAACAGCACCTCACACTATTGAGAAAATCTGAGATCTTTAAAAACTTCTGGACAAATAATAGAAACCGACATATCTCGGACACTAAAAGGCTTTCAGCAGTTATATTTTGATGCAAGATTTGCACTCATACGCAAAGCTTCGCTTTGCAAACACTTGCGCGAACACGACAAAAAGCAGCTCTCCAAAGCTACATTAAAATTTCCAATAAGTGAACACTTTTGATGAACACTTTTATTTGCGAGTTAGGATCGAAAAACGAAGGTCCGTAATAACACACTATGCTGATCACAAGTATAAACACCTCAACAAAACCCTAACAGCACCCCACCATAAGGTTGCAAATAGAAAACTTCCGCAGATTGTTAAATCTAATGTTTTTGAAAATTATCATAAATCATAAAAAAAAACGTCATATCTCGGAAGCTTAATGGATTTGAATAGACAAATATGAAGGCAATATTTGCTGCTCCTGAAAGTACCCTGACAGTACCCCACCATAGGTTTGCTAATATCAAAATTTGTGCAGCTTAAGGCATCTAAATGTTTTGAAAAACTTTCAAAAAGCATAAAAAAACGTCAAATCTTGGAAGCCAGAAGGATTTGAGCACTAATAATTGGAGGAGAGATTTGCATCGGCTCGAAGCACCGCTGACTATAGAGTTAAGAGTTTCAACTTTTGATAAATTTTTAATATCTAAATTGTTTGAAGCAAATAGCTTTATCTTTTCATTTGAACAATGAAAAATGCATCAACTGTGTTAACTTATTACTATTCGAATGTCAAAGCACATGCTACCAAAAAGCCGTTAAGGTGCCAAAATTTTCGACTTAGCTCAGAAAAAAAATTGTCGTACTTTTACACTGGCTAGTGTAAGCAACCTGAGTTAGGTAAAAATACAACCAAGAAAAAACATGAGCATAAAAATTGTGTTTCGCTTGATACCACCCAACATTAGGTCACTAAGCCGATAACAAATAGGCCGAAATAAAGGTTTAACTCCAAACAACTAAAACGGATATACAAAAACAAAGGTAAAGTGAAATTACAAGTTCCAGGAGCAAATCAAAACACTACAAGACATCAATAAAAATCGCCTGCAGTAAAAAAAATGATTCTAAGATGTGAAAACTAAGCCAACAAAACATAAGCAGACGATTATTAGGCAGAAAATTTTATTTGAAACAGAAAATTTTCCATTTGAAAAAAAAACAGGTCCTGGTCAGATTTGATCTCAGGACCTTTGCAGTCCCAGGTTTATTCGTTACCTCCAGGCTGCAGTCCCAGGCTTATTCGTTACCTCAAGTTTGCGGGGAAAGCTAAGAAAACTAAAGTTATATGAACCACTGTGAAAACCGTTATTTACGGAAAGAAGTCTAGTGCCTGATTGCAATAGTTTTGCTGATCGCAAGGGTAATGATAAGCTTACTAACTTCAATAACCTTTTATAAATGATATTTTTGATATTAAGAAACCATGTTTCCAGAAAGAAACGCCCTGACAAAGAATGGATTTTTTTGCCGAGGACATTTGTCCCATGCAACGAGGTAATTGCTAAACCAAAAATGCCGAAGAAAGCGAAATATCATTTCTATTTAAAGAAACTTCTGGATAAAGCCTAAGGAAATGACTGACAATTGAACTTGTCCAAAAACAAAACTGCAAAATCGAGAACCTTAATCAACTAATGAGAAGTACCTTAACAATCAACAGTATTTTAAATTTAATTAACAAGTCCGTCTCCATTTTTCAATCGACCAGTTGTTTGTATTGAGCAAGCAGCAGGCTACTAAAGCAATGAAACTTGAATAATTCCATCTTGTAAATCAATTTGAAAACTTTCAAGTTTATTGAGGCAAGCTATTCATTCAAGCTATGTAACTTTGACCTACTTCAAGGTATTTCACCTTAAACCATTTTTCAAATCTTTTGTTTAGCAAACAAAAGATTTTGCGCGGAAACCATTCAGTTGAATACAGTTTTGAATTTTTTTATTTAACTTTATACCTTAGATCGCTTGGCAAAAAGTTAACATTTCTGCGCTAGCGATTCAAATTACTTCATACTTGGAAATTTAAAGCAAGCGATGACCTATACCGTGAATCGATTCAAAAACTTTGACAATTTATTCAGCGGGCAATTTAAGCGGTGATTACAAAAATTTTGAAATTAATTCCTTACGTGACTCGGTTCGCGAAAAGATTCAAAAAATTCATAGCGGGATTATGTTCTAAAAAATTTTTCGGCCAACTCCTAAGTGCTAAATCTTTAATGTCTTTTCATAGTGAATCGGTTCGCAAAAGAGAGAATTGGTTGGCGATAGTTCAAAATTTTCGATGTTCAAGTGATGAAATGTTTCCAAGTTGTTTTCATAGCTGGGGTTGCATCTTCAAGAAAGCTAAGTAATGAATTTTGAAATATTTCCACGTTTTTTTTCCATAGCTGGAATTGCATCATCAAGAAAGCTAACGAAGTGATGAAACAAGAAATGATCAAGTCAAGTCATTGAACAAATTGGTTCAAGTTTCTGTAAGCAAGCTATCAAAGCGAGGAAACTTTTAAAATTTCTGTTATTTCGAGAAAATTTGGTCGCAAAAAAGCAGAAGTTTTTAAAGCATGTTATTAAAGAAATGATTTTTTTGATATATTTCGATGTAGTTTTCATAGCTTGGATTACTTAACAATTTTTTAGGCGAGCTATTAAAGCAATGAAACTGAATTCTAGAACATTCTTGGCATTCTCTTAAACGTTGAGCTTAGAACTTTCTTAAGCATTGCGCTCGACAAAATTAAAACATAGCGTTCAGTTAGACAATGCGTCCATAGCGAATTCCGTATTAAAATAATAATTTAATATTTTGAAGAAATTGAGCTTTTCAGAACGTTTATGTTGCTTAGATTTTATGTGCTGTTAACTATTAATCCAGAGCGTTTGTCCAACAAATTGATTGCCTCGAACGAAGTCTTTATTCAGATTTAAAAACGCTTGCTAATCGCAAAACCTTTCAAGATAGCCAACAGACAGTTGAAAAAGAGTCAATATCTAAAAATTTTTACTACGTTCATTGACTCTTCATAAACATCACACGACCTCAAGTGTTTTCACTACCTGCTTTCAGGAATATAAAATACAAACTTCACAGCACAAACTTTCTTCGCAACAAAGATAATTACTTACCACTCTTTGATTTGGCACGACATACCCTCCATCGTTACTGTCAGGACTCGAGCTGTAATGCGCGCGCTTATGTTTGCTACTTTTGACGTAGCCAGGTCCAGGAGGTGGCGGCGATCGTTGTCTAGGAGGTCTATAATCCAAATCAGGTTCCATATCACCAAATTCCTGGGGTGGGTAGCCTCTTTGAGGCGGTGCTGCCATCCCTCCGCGGTACATGCTAAACGATTACATACAAATTGGTTTTTGACCCCATTTGTGACACACTGCATAATGCGACAGATGTAAAGCGTAAAGGGCAGCAAAAACCAAACCTTTCGGTAACGATAAGGATGACTTAATTGTACTGTCTGATGGAAAATAAAGCTGAATCCAAAATTATAACTTGAAAAAGACACGTGGTACCACGGCTAAAATAAACTCGTAATTGGAAATTTAATCTTCGGATTCTAGTCATGAAAATCTTAAAATCCCGTTAATTTGTAAAATAATCTTTCCTAAATCAATTTGGAACTTTGTATACGCAGTATGAAAAACAGACTTTGCAAATACTTGGATAATTAATTAGTTACGTCTGAGTTTACCAAACGCCTTGAATGCATTGAGGCAACTCGAAAACAGCGCATTTATACAAGCACATCTCTAAGCAGTATGCAAAAACAATAGAATTTCCCTTCCACTAAGACCAGGGATATAAAGCAGGCACCATTAACCGCTGAAATTCATGGATGGTTTCCATCTTTTTCAATTCGGAGTAGCTCATGGGAAGATCATATCGTAAGATCGAATAAGTATCAGTAATTCAACTACCCAAAGCTCGAAAATATCAAGTTTTGTATCATAGTATTACTACACCAAGAAAATTTAACCGACATTAGTTTTTCAAAATTAATCAATCCACTTTGACCTTTGTGTTCAAAAAATCATTATTTCTCCTGAAATAACCATGAGTAGTAATTGTTTTAGTAACTTACAGTAACTTCTTGACAAATATTTTTTGTACTTCGGATAATCTGTTTCGATACGCAATCAAGAGTTAAACTAAGCGTTGAGATGCTAAAATCCCCAGTTTACATACCCCTAAAAGGATTCACTGGCGGTCAAGTTTAGCCAAAATAAAAATACAAGTCGCGCAAACTCATTTCAATTAGTTCTAATAAATGTCAATCGGCAATGCATTTTAAATTATATTTGTAACGGAAATATTCGAAATCTACATGTCCGAAAAAGAATTTAGAAAGTTTTGCATAAAAGCATAACTGAAACTTCCCAGTAATAGCGAGACCAATTAACAAATAAAGTAACATAACACGGCACTTTTCCCTGAAAACAGAAATTTTGTCAGTTATTACAACTTTCATTTCAATTATCACTGACTTTGGTAAACATCGCATCTCATTCACCTTTTCATTGGTGGCTTTCCCCTATGCATTCCGTCAAAATTAGGCACAAACTCCCGCGGATAATGCTGCTGCATGGGCATAGGAGGAGGTTGCTGAGGTTGCTGCTGTCTACCTGTTTTAGGATCATTGAAATTCATTCGAATTTCGCGGTTCTGAATGACAATTGGACAGCTATGAGCTTTCTGGGCTGATCTTAACTCGACGAAATCCACAAAAGCTGCAACTCCTCCTCCTTGGCCAGTTTTCTTCGGTAGCAACTTCACCTTTTCGACTTCGCCGAATCTACAAATTTCCAACCTATTTTGAACTTAAAATTAGGAAACTCATTACCAATCAACGGTAAAGACTTCGAAATGGAATTCTTCGCAAAACTGTTAAGAACTAGGAAATGGTATTCTTTAATTTTCTATCTGAAGCCATTAGTCCTATGCTGTATTGAAACTACAATCTTTCATTGCAATCTTCAGATCCAGATTTGTGATCCTTAGATATAAAGCCACAAAAATATTATTTGTCGAAACTAAGCACACTCACTTTTTCTCGAAGAAAGCTCGAATATCATCCTCGTCAAAATGATCTGGCATATTTCCGACCCACAAATGCCTCGACTCCCGCTGTTGCTGCGGCTGTTGATGCATCTGTTGCTGCTGATGATGATGATGATGCGGGTAATTCATCATGCTTCTGTACTTAATTTATTTTCTGTTAAATCAAACGATGGACAAGTTGAATCGCGCAAACGATGAATCATCATGATAAAAACGTTACGTGTCTTTACAATGAATTCGAAATTTTGAAAAAGAGAAGTGAAAATAAAAAACATATGTCAAAATCATGTTTTTGCCTTCTGATTTCTACATTTTGAAAGAGAAAAATCTATTTTTTTTTCTCAAGTATATCTCCGGGTGAAGGCTTTATTTGCCCCCCACGAGTAAAACAAAGTCATGAGTCAACAACAACTGACGGAATCTCAGCTACCAATACTCATGAAGTGCTGATTGAAACGAAGACAAAATTGAGAAAAGCGCTAACAGTAAACAAATCGACGGAAGAAACAAGACAAATCCAAATAATCAAAATCATCCACTTATTCTCGTGAGAAACTCTCGAGTCAGCTGAAAATCTGACTCAGGCGGCTCTTTTTCCTTTTCCCCCCACCGGTAAATTTTTACATGTGACTTTGTTGACCACGTTGTCCGATTGTTATAAAAAATTACATACAGACTAATAAGGCAACGACAAACATATTTGGTTTTCATACTCAACCTCGTAAAACCACTCGTTACACTAATATATTAAGCTCGCATGATATGGGGGGCGGAGGAAAAAGAGCCACGCAGGCATATCGAAGTTGTGCTTCCGATATACTGAAACAATTCCCCACAACTATGCAACAGAAGATGACAATCACAAAAACAATAACTGTGACAAAAGATGACCGCAAACTTCATACACTGACAGTTTTTGCTCCCCCCCCCGAAGCAGAGCAATTCTAAACTAGTATCAAAAGCAAAGGAATCACTCTACTTACCAGGACGGTATTTCCCATGGGATGCTTTACAAGGTCTCATAGACCCAAGAACATTTACCCTAAACTAGCCAAAATCAAATTGTCGAATTAGCCATATGTATGCAACGATATCGAAGCGAAATTAATTCTCCAATTGCCAGAAGACATAATTCATAGCCCTATGTTCCAACGTGAGACCTCTAGCGTAACTGAACCGGGTCAGTATGTTTACACAGGAAGAGCAATTTTAGAAGTTAAAATACAAAACGAAGAACAAGAGAAAAAGTTAACGGACTTGTCTTACAAATCAATAATGGATGGCTTTAAAATGTGGGAACGTGTAGAAATCTCGTTTCACATACCTTCACTACATGACTGTCAAAAATGCACCATGATCGGTGCAACATAGGAAACCAGAAAACCAATAAACCAAATAATCAGTCCCCACAAAAACCAAGCTCAAATAATGCCAGCGACGAGAAAAACGATGACGAAACAACCAGCGATAAGTTTTGTAATGGTAGCGAAAATGTCGAAGGAAAGAATGTCGAAACACCACCATCTAGAGTTTTGGTAAATGAATCCAAAACAAACAGTGTAGCAACTCCAAGCGAAGAAAAACAAAAGGATGAGGTTCTCAACAATCAGGTCGTAGATTTTCGTTCTGACTCTGCAGAAGAAAAAAAGACATGTGCCAGTAGGTCATATCTGGAAGTTTGACCTTGAGGAACACGAAACACGTGGTTTTGGAATGAAGTTTAATCTTTCAAAAATTCGAATGGAGCCTGTCATGCTCAGTTTTATCGCGACAACTGAAAACATCAAATATAAAAAACAGAACAACCGAATTACAATTGCGGGAAAGTTGTCAAATAAAGACAGTGGGAAATAGCTATTCGCAATTTCCGTCAAAGAAAACGAGAGTAGAGCTGTCCTATCTGATATAGGAGACAGAACAATCACAAGAGCAAATCGAAACTCAACTGAACCAGAGTGAACCTTCAATGGAAAGGCAGACAACTGAAGTCTCCCAATGGTTCAGATCCAAAACTACATTCTCAAGTTAAAACTCATTTCCTTTGATTGGAACTCATTGTTAGAAAACTTCTCGAGTTATATTCAATTATATTCATGCTAGAGTTTTTAATTAGCTTAATTACTCTTTTTCTCAAGTGTGCTGCTATGTAAGTACCTAATTTTAAATTCCCGAGTGCATTTTATGATAAGTATGTTGAGGTAAGGCGAGTTTTAGGTTGATCCATCTGAAATGGATCAAAGTTACGCTGTCCAATAAAAAGTAACTTAACGGATTGTTCGGACCCTGTTTTTAACGGCGTTCGTGTATTTTGGGTATTTTGAGACCTAAGTATGGGGACGTTCTTATTTTCTAGAGTGGGGGGGGGGGTATCTTGGTAGTGGCCTTTAAGCTGTAACGGGTTCTAGTCTCATGTCGCAAGTGAATCGAATTGACTCCGACCATTTTTGAGGTAGAAAACCACAAAAGATAGTGTCCCTGACTCTTGAGCCAATAGTTATAGAGCCTATTTTTCTTAAGCCTCATATGTGACCGAAGTAGGCGACTGTTACATTGTGTTTTTATGGCGCTCCTGGGTGTTTTACGACATCATGACTACGGAGTCGAACCCACTTGACACAGCTCCGGGCTACATGCCCATTCTAGAGTACCGGTGGTACGGTTCAGCGGGAACGTGTAAACCTTCCGGTTGTACCGTGATAGCTTTTTAAGAAAACTTGAGAAAACTTCCTGGTACGCTCTCCGAACGAGGCTTAGCTAACCGAGTAAGGGGGGGGGGGGTAACTAGGGGGACAAAAACACGAGCAAAAAGACAAAAAGCGAAACAAAAACAAGAAAAAAGAATAGAAAAAGGAACAAAAACCATAAAACAAAAAAGACATTGACTTTGACACCAGATTAGTTGGATCAAACCTTTATATTAATTAAATAGTATACCCATACTGTTTTATAAAACCGATCGTTTCGATCAACCTAGCAATCTAAACCAGTGACCTCAATAAGGTGCCCAAGTGGGGGGGCGTTGTTAAAGGTTTTCAGATAGCTTGCAACTTAGCTGGACAACTAGGAGACTTGACTGGAAGAGGTGACCAGCGGAGTGGGAAAGTGGTTCACAAGGATTGAGCCGAACCACTAGGAGACTTGACTGGAAGAGGTGACCAACCGAGTGGGAAAGTGGTTCACAAGGATTGAGCTGAACCGCTAGGAGACTTGACTGGAAGAGGTGACCAGCCAAGTGGTAAGGTGGTGCTGGTGTCAGGTGCAGTGCACGTCAAGGGGACAACCAGCACGGGACCGCTACAACAAGAGGAGGACGCACAGGGGTGTTCTCAAGTTGGACAAACGGGTATCGTTAAAATCCACATCACATTATAGGAAATAAGTGTAAAATTGGATAAGTGGAGCCCCATTGTTTTGAGGAAGTTTTTACTCAAGCAGGCCTGGAAACAGGTCTACGGTTTTCTCTCGAGAGGTGTAGCACCCGGCGCTTAAGGGATTTTTTGGCTTAAGAGGGGTGCTAAAGAGGGGGAGGTTAGAAGGGGGGCTGGTTAGGTTAAAGGTTGGTGGTTGTAAAGTGTAAAAAGGGGGGACACATTAGAGTAACTAATTGTTCGGCAACGTCGATTTAGTTGCATTAGATACTTACACGCGTTGGTGATAAGAAGCGGATATCCAAATTTAACATCGAATTAAGGTAGGTTCCCTGGTCGGATCGGTAGGGGGGAACGGACATAGACAGTTTTTGTGAAACCCTATAAGATCGCTAGCAGGGGGGAGGAAAACGCGTGGCAATCGGGTAACAGACGTTTTTTCGGACAAAGGTTGACAGCTGTCAGCTTTGAATTTTAGGTGGGTTCATCTCTCTGTTTTTATAATTTTTCCTGTTTAAATTTTTACGTTTTGGTGAGAATTTGTTATTGGTATTTGAACGAACAGGTGATCACAAGATACCTGCGAAGAAGTTGGGGTTTCAAATTGCCTGAAACAACGAAAGGGAGATAAATACAGGGGGGTCAGTATTTGAAGCTTTTGGCCATTAAGATAGGGTTTTTGGGAAATTTTTTTAGTAGAGCTCAAGTGGTGGCACACGGTACAGTGGTTCGAGAGTCCCCACATCGAAGAGGAAGAAATCCTACTATCCAGACACTTGGTGACAAGTCTTGGGACAGTACCGAAGAAGTCTTGGGACATTGCAGTGTGGGGACGGTCTTGGAGCAGTGCAGTCTTGGGACAGTCTTGGGACAGTGCAGTCTTGGGACAGTCTTGTGACGGTGCAGTCTTGGGACAGTCTTGGGCCAGAGCAGTCTTGTTACGGTCTTGGGACAATACAGTCTTGGGACATTGGTCTTGGGACAGTGGTCTTGGGACAGTGGTCTTGGGACAGTAGCCTTGGGACAGTGGTCTTGGGACAGTGGTCTTGGGACAGTGGTCTTGGGACAATAGTCTTGGGACAATAGTCTTGGGACACTAGTCTTGGGACAGTAGTTTTGGGACAGTAGTCTTGGGACAGTAGTCTTGGGACACTAGTCTTGGGACAGTAGTCTTGGGACACTAGTCTTGGGACAGTAG